TGAATAAACAATTTACTCCAGCTCAAAGAGCTGAAAAGTCAGAGGTTGGGTTTGAGGCTAGATCTGTATGAATTCAAATCTGATGCTTTCTATCACACCATAGGCTGATCTCCTATCATAAATCTATTTTTTCATGTCTATTAATTTATTTTGAAAAAGAAAAAGAGGAGGGAGATGGGCAGAGAGAGGGAGAGAGAGAATCCCAAGTAGGTTCTGTGCTGTCAGTGCAGAGGCTGATATGGGGCTCAACCTCACCAACCATGAGATCATGACCTGAGCTGAGACCAAGAGTCAGAGGCTGAACCAAATGAGCCACCCAGGCTCCCAGTACTTCATAAATTTAAAGGTATTTCTACACGTTACCCTTGGCCACTACACAGGATTCGGGGTTTTGTTTTGTGGTGGTTGTTGCTTTGACCGTCAAGTTTCAACTATGTTACAACAGAATTAGTATTTATTTTATACCAGACACTTGGTCTCTAACCTCTTCCAGGCCTGAGTGTCCTCATCCGTAAAATGGGCTTGGCAGTAGCAGTTTCAGAGTTCTAATGTTGAATTAAACAAGTATGGGGTACACAGGAAATTCTTAATAAGTTGGGCCTACAGTTGAAAATGCTAAGCTTTATGCTGTCTTAAGTGTTCATGTTTAGGCTTCTGTGTACAATGTGGAGTAAAGCTCAATGTCTTTAGGACCTGTTCTAGCCCAAATCCATATAAGACACCGGTGTTAAGAAACAATAAAAATAAAGTAGTGAAACCATGAAGCTCTTGGCTATAGGTATCTTGGGGAGTCCTCCCACAAGGTGGAATCATGCTTGGGACATCAACACAACGCTTACTTGAAATGTAAGTTTGGGGTATGTGGTTCAGTATTAACAATAGGACTATACTGTCTATTTTTAAAAGGGCATTCAATGAAAAAAAATCAAAACTAGTTTTCTTCAGTGAAATTGGGGAGTATGGATTTCATTTGAAAGCAACTTTGAGAAACGCATTAAACAACAACAACAAAAAAGCCAGGACGGATATTTTTAACAACAGCCGAATGTATGGTCACATACCAGGGACTTCATTTTCCTGCTATTACACTTTTGCTTTTCTCTTCCCTAGCCAGGCCTGTCATGTGCCCAGCAGCCTCTTTTTGTTCCCATCACCTTTGTTACAAAACACTTCCTTATAATGCCCGACATGCCTGCTTCCCACAGCTAGAATTACATGGAAGGTGGGACCTTCTCAAACTTTTTTTGTACATATTGCTGTAACATGCCCTAATTTTGCATTATATCAACCAGATCCTGTATCCCCTTACTGAATGGCCTACTCATTGGGTCGCCTAAGCTACTGTGACTAAGCTACTTCTCAAGTATCTGGTTCCCATAGAGACAGAACAGCTATCACATGGTCAGGCATTCATTTCTTTATATGCCTGTAGAGTAAGGAAGGCCCAACCACACGCTCCCTTCACAATGCTTGGGGACGCCACCGAAACTAGGTTCCAAGAAAGAAGGCTTGCCCTTCAACTGCCTTAAGACTTCTCTCCCTAGTGCCTTGAGGAATGAAAAGGGGGCAAAGTTCTCCAATGAGCTTGGTTATTATCACTGTTCGGAAGGATCCTTGTTGAAATGCACATTTTTACAAGGCATGATTATCAGATTTGAGAGCAAAATCTTCCCGTCTGTAAAGTTCTCTAATAAAGAGAATAATGAACAAGCTTCTTTGCATGCCTCAGGCTACAACTCAACATCCTCAGCAATGTGTCTTCAGAAGGGATGCCGCATGACATCGAGACAACAGGTGGTTAGCACAAAGAGGGTGTTCACAAATATTTAGGATGAAATCACACTGAGAGTATCTGAGGAACTTCTGATCCTGAGCTGTGTACTGTCACTAAACCTGTCATCTGAAGGCCTGTCCATTTCCTCGTGTCCCAGGCTCACCTTCCATCCACCTTCTTGCCTGATCCAAGTGGATGTATTCCCCATCTCAACAAATACATGACTAAGCTGCCCAGCAGCTCAGGGAAAAACAAAAACAAAAACAAAAACAAAAACCTGGGAACGATTTTTTCACTCCTCTATTACTTGCTGTGCACCAGCCCAAACCAAATCCTTTGCAAATCCTATTTCTCAACTTGCAACAGAATCCAGGATCCAGTGAGTTCTCTCCATCTCTATTGCTAGTATATCGGGTCACCCCCAAAAACCACTTTGTTCCCCAGTCTTCTCTCCCCATCATTAATTTTCCACATGCAGCCAAAATAATGTAAAAATCTAAATCAGATCTTGCCATGTCTTCCCTTGAAGTCCTCCAATGAGTTCATATGCCATGTGTAACGACATTGAACCTCCTGACATGGCTCACGCTTGCCCTCATCCCGGCCCACATCTTGACTCGGCATCTCCATCACTGAGCCCAGCCACCTGGCCTCTGTCCCTCAAACAGCAAACCCTTTCCTGCCCTGCCTTCATTGCTTCCTCTGCTTAGAACTCTCTCGTGACGGTCACATTACCAACCAGCCTTTTAGTCATTTGGACCTCAGGTTCAAATCAAAGTCATGCTCAGGAAGACCTTCCCCAACCAGGCTTTCTGAAATTAGTTTCTCCCTGACCTCTGTTAACTTATATTGAAGTATTTCAGGTCACCTATAAAGACTAGAGACACTTGGTTTTTGGAAATTATAGGAGATAAAACTTTTCATCACATGCCTTAGTATGAGAAAACTATACAAACTAACAAACAAAATACTATTTGATGAAGCCTCAAAATACTAATGGTTGACACTTTTAAAAATAAAATTTGTGGTACTTGTTTTGTTTAGATATCATTGAGAATCTGAATAAGAAAGTCTAAGCTGCCAGGGGTTTCTAGGTTAGGTGTGAATGCACAGACCAATAATTTGTGGCCAGGGACTGACATGAGGTCATGAGGTCACGGGATGCTCACCATCTTGCCCTAAGCTGAACCTTTTCAGTGGTGAACAAAGCCTTGATCAAGTCAACTACCAATTTGGCCCTTAATGAGAAAGCTCTTAAAGACTGGAGACTTTCTGGATGGTTTTCAAATGCTGGTATTCTAAGCGCATGCTCTTTTCAATACTTTTGTGTGAGTTCCAGGAGCCAGCTTTCTTCCTTAGGAGTTAGTTGGAGGGACCTTAAAATAGTTAAGAAAATCTTTGAGATTCTTCCTACTAACCACACATTGACATTTCAGCTATTAATTTTTAGCTTTTAAGTAGTAATTTTTGTAGAAATGGGGATGGTAATAGTATTCATAGAGGGAATAATACAAAAAAACACCACAGCTAATGTTTACTGAATCCCTATTATGTGCTGGCCACAAAGCAGAGACTTTGTTTGAACGACTAATTCTGTGGCTTTATTTTTTTTTTTAATTATACTATATTTTTGTTAATTGTCTTCTTCTCATAGAAACTCTAACCATAAGATGGGGCATATTGTGTTTTACAGATATCTTATTTCTTATTAAATTTTTTCATGTTTATATTTGGAGAGACAGAGCACGAGTCAGAAAGGGGCAGAGAGAGAGGGAGACCCAGAATCCTAAGTGGGCTCTAGGTTCTCAGCTGTCAACACAGAGCCCAACACAGGGCTCCAGCTCACGAACCATGAGAATATGACCTGAGCCGAAGTCGGACGCTTAACCGACTCAGCCAGCCAGGTGCCCCCAGATATCTTATTTCTAAAATTTTTTTTTTAATATTTATTTATTTTTGAGAGACAGAGTGAGACAAAGTGAGACTGGGGGAGGGGCAGAGAGAGAGGGAGACACAGGATCGGAAGCAGGCTCCAGACTCTGAGCTGCCAGCACAGAGCCCAACGCGGAGCTCGAACCCACAGACTGTGAGATCGTGACCTGAGCTGAAGTCGGACGCTTAACCGACTGAGCCACCCAGGCGCCCCTCTAAATAGAAATCCAAAGGGTGGAATATTCTGGAATATTTTTGCTCTTACAAACGTGCATATTTTCCAGCCTTTTTGAGGGGTGGTATATGTAACTTCAGGGTTATGAGAAGGAAAGCTTCACTATAATGCTCAATGGATAGTTCATCAAATTTCACTGTCAAACTATACCTACAGGGCAGGCACTCAATATACGTTTATTGAAATAAGTATTGTTTGAAAGAATGGGTACCGGCATAAAATCTGTAATGAGAGCGTGATACACATTTTGTGTTTTAAGATTTAATTGCCATGAACAACCAGAGTCACCAAGACACAAGAACTCAGTTCCTAAGGCTCTGAACCAATATCTTCACAGATTTAAAACCTGTAATATTGTTTCTTTAATGATGGAAAAAAATGAGAAATATCGTATTCACATATTCAATTACCTACAGCCACTTTAACTAACATGGTTTTGGTGTGGGAAAGGTTCATGAAGCCACCAAGGAAGAGATCAAAAAGAATTTCCAAGGATTTGGGGAAACCCGAAAACAGAACACTGAGGCTGAATTTCTACTCATGGAAGGTTGTCTGTAATATTATTTTTTACCTACCACACCAAAGGTAAATATTGTAACAACTTAAACATTGATGTATTGGTCCTATTGTCATTCAGAGGCCCAGTTTTATATGCCATTCACATAGATTTAGCTCATAGCAAAGCGACTTTTAAAGACATTCTTAACAGGCGTTTTGAAAATAAAATACTAACTCGGCTAATCACTGAAGACAAGAACATGTGAAATACTGGCTCCGCCGAATATGTTGTTGCGAATAAAAACCAAGAAAATTGAATGACTCACATAAAAAATATAAAACAAAGTATTTTTCCATATAATCTATATGAAAACAACCTCCTCTTGCTCATTTATATGTTTTTGCCTTACACATATATCTGTATCCATAAATTCAGTTGTTCTCCAGTTCATATTTTAAATTTATTATTTAAAGTTAAACCACATCCCTGTCTGGATAAAAGTTCAATTCTAGACATATATACTCTAAAGAAATTAAAAGCTGATGTCTCTCGGTACTCACCCTCCCATATCTGTTGGCATAGGACCCAGTAAGCAAGGAATGGAAAACAATGATTGTCTCGTCCAAGTCCCAGATGAACACCCTCTACAAAGGAAGAACCAAATCAGGATGTCTTTCCCTTGGTTGAGAAACCTGTGATTCAGTTAACTTCAACATAAATAAGCAGTCTTGAAATAGAAGACAAAAGAAAAATCTGAATTCTTTTTCATGTTTTAAAACACAACTCTTCCAAAGAGGATCTCCCAGCTTTTCTCCAGTTACAACCTCAGATGGTGTGTAGAACAATTATATTAGTGACATCGATACAAGCGTGGGCAAGAAATAATAACGTATGTCCTTTCTACTTCTGAACTGAAGATTCACAGTTCTCCCTTCTGAAAAAATTAAAAAGGAGTTAAAACTAGTCTGTTCACAACTTATTGAGACAGAGCGGGGGCAATCAGTTAAACATCATTCCATTTTTCTTTTTCTTATCTCTTCTCTCTGCTTATTAAAGTGTTAAAATAACAAATCTTATGTTTCATTTTTATCAAGCCAAGTGTTAAAAAAACTGCACATAAAACCTAAAACTTCACATCATCTACTCACCTTATGCTACCTTTGGACTGTTATCATGCAGTTGGGTTATATACTGTTCCTGCCTGTTTTCTTCAGATTACAAAATTTAGGCAGACGCATCCCATGTGCTCGTAACACACTCTTGAGATATTTGGAATTGGATTTGAAGGAATTCACTTCAAAAATGTCTTTGAGATGCCACAAAGGCTTCTGAAGCGTACATTTCTTCTTCTCCTTTCCACTCACACACCAGTATATATTCATACACATAGGTTCTGCTGGGAAATTTTCATCTCTTCAGCCAAAATAATCATGTTTCCCACCATCAGCTTTCACTTGGCAAAACCCAGAAACTTAATTGCAGTGGATTCAAAGCTATGAAATCTACCCTTTAAGGTTTTATTTAATCCCTCCTGCTTTTGAACTCCACCAAAACAGGTCTCATAAGACAATTGTCCCAGGTTTTCCTTTCTCATATGCCTAAGTGTGTCTTTAATTTTCAAAGTGGATTTTATTAATCACTTTTAGTATGACACTTCACTGAAATGGCAATGATCTCGAGCAGTACAAGAGAATTTTGTTGAAGCAGAATTATATACTTCACTGTATTTCCTTAGAGAGAAATAACCGGATGCTTTGCACGTAGTGAAATGGAAGAGAAAACAGAAATAATTGTTTTTACTTACAATCAACATGAAAGAAAAAAAAATGCTTTACTTACAATTAACATAGGGAAAAAAATCAGGAACAAAAGCATTTGGGTATCTTGATCATGGTCTATTTACATTGCGTGTGTACAGAACCATCATTTAACTACCAAGATACCTTGTTATTTACTAGGTCATTGTCAATGACATACCTCAAGGTCAGAATCTGGGGGAGGTGAAGGATTATTGTTTCTTCGGCCCCGTCCACGTGACTTCCCATCTGAACCTCGACGCAATCGATCGGAGTCTGAATCTTTAATGGGTGTTGATGGGCTGTGGATCGTACTGTACTCTGCAGAAATACAGGAAGGTCTTTTATCTTCTGGTTCTATTACCATGGTGTCAAGATCAACCTTGTTTCAACTCATGGGCAAGTCTGAAGAGCAAAGCGCATTTCATTCTGCTCACATTCATTACCTTTTACTTGCACTGATAAAAAATGTATGAGATACCTGATTCCAAGAATGCACTCTTTTGAAAGAAACGCGTGATCAGAAATGAATAAAATTTAATTGAAGGTGTGGAAGACAGCAGGTGGAAAACTAGTGGTCTAGTTTCTCTTAGTGGTTCTCCACGAGTAGACAATGCTCCCTCAACCCTATTTCCACATCCATCTCTCTCTCTCTCATTCCACAAACAGCGTCTGGCCATGCTGAGAGGTTCACACATTTGCCTTACTAACCGCTCTCCCACCTACAAAAAGGCTCCTGGTTCACAGAAAGAAAAGAAAAATCAGCTCTGGGGCAGGAAAAACCAAATCACCAGGCAGATTTTTCTTTGAAAATTTCAAAACATCTCCTTTTCTCCCCTCATTTTATGTGAGAACAAGGGAGTGATAAGGAAGAATAGATACATGGGCAATGCCCATACTCTGCACAGCATCTGTCTCAGTCTCTTTGAACCAAAAATCTCAAAGGGACAGCACATTCAAATTGCTCACCTGGGTGACTCAGAGAAACCATGGAAATAATTACATAGAAAATACAAAATAAAGAACAACTTCCAACCAGCTGGAAGAATGGCTAAGTAGTGACTGTGGAGTTGGGGGAGGGGGAACTCTTACCCTATTTCCAAATGAACAACAATAACAACAAAAACCCTAATACTTTTTTTTTTATCTGATGTTCACACATCAGACAATTTCTACTCCCCCTCCCAAATTCCAGACGTGCCCAGTGTGTTGCCTCTCCTCCCCAAACTCTTTGCCAGATTTCTCTCCTAGATATGGGTTGGGATCTCTCAAGCTAGTATGAGGAATGGTAATTCTCACTGAGATGTTGTTGATACTAAATCTCAGCAAACAGAAAAGTATCGAGGACAAGTAAATACCTGGTAGCCTTTGTTATTGTACTATCGTCCTCAACTGTACCAACAAGGCTAGCCACGTGTCCAACCATGTGGTCTCAATATTACTTCCAAGTTTAAGCCTTACGAGTCTGGAGGGACAGGAATGGACTTTGACAGAGTAAATTCCATTTCTAAATCGCGTGGAACAGCCCTATACCTCTTGTTTAATTTTAAAACCTCAGCAGATTCCTATCACTTTTAGATGAGACTTTACGTTCTCTGCCATAGCAAACAAGACAGCAAATTTCCTCCGATAGACCAGTCCCAGATCCTTGTACCAAGACGCCACCATGATGGCACAGTTCATTACGGCCAGAAGGTCCAGAACAACTCTACTCCCCAGGTCGGCATACGTAGTTACACGGGATGCATTTTTGAGCTAACTCACTCACCTTACGGGACTATTAGAATACAAGTGCTGGCTGGTTATGGTTTAACATTTTCGAAATCCCCATCAGATGTTTTTCGGGCAGAGGCAGATGACTGTGGCATCTTCTCCTCAAAATGTTCCAAACCAAGCTTCTGTCTTCCAAGTTTTATAGAGAATTAGGAGCTCCAAATAAATACGCATTTTTAAGGAGCTCAGGGAGTTCGAAGTTGTGTTTGGAGGAAAAAGGCTCGACCTCCCTTTTCTTTGACAATTCTGTAACTACACCTCCGTGCGAACCTGGACAGCCACCATCTAAGACAGAACGCATGCCAATCTCTCTACAGTAATGTCAAAGCAGAGCGTTTGCTTCCAACGGTCACCACTGGCATCTAAATTTGACTCGTATTTCGAGTACTTGACTGCAAAGTCCATCTTGAACTGTGAGCTCTCCAACCTTTGAAGTTCATATTTGACAAGAAGCTAAAAGACATCAAACAACACATCTTATCACATTCATCTCTTGCCTTGACTTCCAGGTAGTTTAGGGTTAATTTTGTCCTCCAAGTAGTTGACCTTACTTAGGTTTTCTCAGTCTAGATTTCCTATTGATTGCCAATTCCTTTAGTTCTTGGTGTGTATTTCCTTATCCTTGTGTTAAACCCATTTAAATCTTTAAACAGTAATATTCCATCTCCCTTTTGGAAACAAGTGATAATTAAATTGATTACTCACTTCTATAAACCTCCCTACCAAAGAAAAGAAATTCAATGAGTAAAGTATACAGGTAGATTCTTAAATCATCTTATCTAAAGTTTTTCCAGGTGGAGAAAAAGCTCTAAAATATGAATATGATACCTTTAAATATTAACACACACACACACACACACACACACACACACACACACAACCTTACAGGCCTCAACTTATTAGAAGGAAGGTAAAATTTAATAATGCAAGCCAGATTAAAAAAAAAAATCTCTTTCTCTTTGTTCTATGAGGTGGGATTAAATGCTTCTACTCTCCTAACCAGCTTTGCTGACTCTATTCTCTTTCCTTCTATTAGTACAAAACAACTCAACAAATAATTTAATCTTCTAATCCACTGACATCTCATGTTTCATTAAAACCCTTTCAAAATTATTCAACTTTACCCCCACCGAGATAATGAATGTAAAAATACTCAGAAGAGCATTTATTTCCTCTAACAATGATTACATGCCTCTACTCTTCCAGGCACTGTACTAGGAGGCTGAGGTATAATAATGTGCTATACAGATATGGTCTCCTTGGAGCTTAAAATTCAGAGGAAGGCACTGATTTGTGGACAAAAATAAGAGATTAGAAAACAATATAGAAAGGGCTATGGCACGGGAAAGGTAGAATGCTGACAGACCACGGGGCAAGTCTATATAACACAGATTTACAGGATTATAGAAGCTTCCTGAAGATGGAAGACAAAGCTACCAGTAAAAATGGAATATAAATGTTCTCCAGAAAGGCACATGAGCATGTGTGCTGGTGGGGGGAGGGGAGAGAGGGAGACAGAGAAAGAGAGAGAAAGCATGTGCATGAGCATGTTGAAGAACTGAAAAAAACCCAAAAAACAAAAAACCAAAAAACAACCAATCTGACTGACTCTATAGAGGAAGGGTACAGAGAAGAGGTGGAGTTACAGACAAAGAATTCAGCAAGGGAGTGATGGGAGCAAATTTACACCTTAGATAGAGGACTCTAGCCAGTGTGGCGAGGTAGTGGAGGCGAGTGAAGGCTGGAAGGGGAGACCAGCCAGGAGGATAATTCAGTGATGGTGTTGGCAGCCCATGCAGGTAGTGGACATAGAGAGAGCTACAGATTTGAAGTGCCACTCAGAGGGAAATCAATAACTAATCAGATAAGGGAGGAGGAGGTGCTCATACCAGTGGGTTGGCAACTGGGAAGATGAATATAACCATGAGGTCTGGGATTTGAGAAGAAGGGCTTATAAAGAAGTGTGCAGATGAGCATTTAAATTCTGCTTTGGACATCTTGAGCTTGAAGAATCTGTGATATTCACGATGTCCAGCAGGCTGTTAGACTGCCCCATGAGGGCTGGGTTTAGGTTTGGAAATTGATGGCACGTAGAATGCAGTTAAAGAAATGGCTGCCATTAAAGACATGCAGTGTGTGCAGAAGGGACGGGCAGGGAAAAATGGGTGCGGGGTGAGGAGGAAAACCAAGGTCCGTGTGTTGTAGAAGAAAGGGTGGGTCAGGAAGGAGACAGTGATCAATAACTTCAGATCAGCCAAGGGATAAGGTAAAGCGAACAATGAATCCAAGCGTACTTTGGATTTAGAGTCAGTTAAGATCTTGGCACACAAGGCAAAGTACAGATTTGAGAAGTATTTAAGGAGGTAGATTGGTGGGATTAAAAAGGAGAGCTCAGAAGGTACAAGAGTAAACAGGGGTTAAAACTCCTGACATGCTACTGAAGACCCTAAAATGGCCACATTCAATAATTACTTGAAGCTCTTCATCGTATTTCACTTCTCTGTGACCGTGCTGACCACTGGCTCATCTCACCTGTGAACACATCAGAGTAATTTGACTTGCCTTGCTTCTGCTTCTCATCCTTGCACTCACGCTATTCCTTCTGTCTCGTTAGAGACCTCTTCCTCTACCTAAGGCTTAAATGTGAGTGTTTTTTTGTATTAGTGATACTCAAAGAACTGATCTGGGACAAAACAAGGAGCTTCAGGATGTTAATTAATGCAATGCTTCCTTCATCAAAAGTCTTGCTAAGATTGAAAAGAAAAGTTAAACAGCGTGCTTAGGGATGCAGTTGATTAATCCTCATGTAATACTCAATTAGTGGATAGACAGCCAGTTGGTGGACTATATTATGAGCAGCAAATACACTGGAATTTTCTTCACGGTCCTCTTACCTCACTACAAGCTCTCAGCAGTGTGTAGTATTGATTAGAGGGATTTCAATGATAACCTCCAGGTTGATTATTCTAAGGCTTCATCTCCTGATCTGTTGACCTGAATATCCTCATTTGCTAGACCTCTCTACCTGATTTTCCATGGGCACCACAACTAAAGTTGTCCCCAAATAGATCCTCCTTCTCTCTTAAAGTGTCTAATTCAAGGTACCAACATACACTCGGTTTTTCAAGCCAGAAATTCCTTATTTGCCCCATCAAATCAAGACTAAGTTCTGTGTATTTTACCTTCTGAATACTTTCATTCTAAATCCACGCTCTCATCAGCCCTTTCTTTGATTCTTACAACAGGCTGTTTTTTCTTTTATTTTTATTAAAAAAAATTTTTTAATGTTTATTTTTGAGAGAGAGAGAGAGAGAGAGAGAGAGAGAGAATCAGTGGGGGAGGGGCAGAGAGAGAGGGAGACACAGAACCTGAAGCAGGTTCCAGGCTCCGAGCTGTCAGCACAGAGCCTGACGCAGGGCTCGAACCCACAAGCCTTGAGATCATGACCTGAGCTGAAGTCAGACGCTTAACCCAACTGAGCCACCCAGGCACCCCACAACAGGCGGTTTTCAAACTTGCTACCCACAACCTTCCAATTCTGGCCTATA